CTGCTATCATTCATTTGCACAAACTTGTTAGGTAGGTTACTTAATGCTTCACTCTACCCCTCTTGCCATCAATATATCTTGTGAGGCTTAAATTCTCCAAGCCCTCTTTCCTCATTAAGTGTTCCAGAAATGTCAACTGTCGCTTTCTGATTCTAAGCACAAGTGTTCATTTTGTTTCCATTTTCCTTAAAATTACTCACATGTTCCCTCTGTGATATTCTCAGTATCCTTCTGTAAAACCAAATCTCTGTTGCTTTAAGGCTTACGGCCATATCACGTCGAAACACCGGTTCTTGTACGATCACCGAAGTTAAGCAACGTCGAACCTGGTCAGTACCTAAATGGGTAACCGCTTGGAAATACCAGGCGTTGAAAGCTTAGATGTGCGGGTGGTGTAATAGAGAATGGCACAGAATTGGCGATTGGATAGGATAACCAAGTTCTAGTTCCGGTATGGTTCATTCATTTATACGCAAATTCTCTTGGGGAAAGGTACGAATCCATCGTTTCGTCCTCCAGCTATGGATTAATTAGTACGAATTGTATCAGCAAATGACTATTATTTTTAAAAATCTAAAGATATCTTCTGGCTTTAAATGACCTGCAAAAGGGTTGATAAGCCGTAAAAATTAATCGAATCTGTTGCTTCAAGTCTCCTTTTCATCAGTGAGAAAATAGTTCTGTATTCATTGATATTGCGTAGCAGTTTTGCGCATAATTTTTCTTCTGTTTTTAACCAAAATTTTATTAATACTTTGTTTAGCATTTGAAACGCAACTTTAGCTATAACAATGCACCTTTACATTTTAGTGTCACATACAAGTGTTTTATTGTCAAAGCGTGCACACGCTCACCGACATCGACAGAGAGATTAGGAAAATTAAACACAAGTCTATGTTCCTTACACACGATATTCACCGTACAAATCCTTATCACTGCTGCTACTCCATGAGTTAAGGACGAGCTTCGAGTGGGTTGGGGGGTAGTCACATGACAAATGGTCCGAGTACTACATCATGTTCCTGTTGTAGTGTGTATACTTCACGCTCCGAGAAACACGCTGAAAAGCGAGATGAAAATGGTGGTGATGGTGAAGACAACGAAAAAGATTACTGTGTTGTCGAGTGATTCTGTTTTTAGCACTTCTTCAACCAACTGTGTCTGTGTGCATGTCTGTCGGCTTGCTTGGATCTGATCTTGCTTGGGTTTTCCATGAATTTTATCAAGAAAGAAATGCTCCTTTGTTGCTGAGGTGGGGTTGGCGGGGCGGTGGGAGCGGAAACGAAAATCTTATTTGTTTAATTATTTTCTTTACTAAATTATCGATTTTGGTTCGCCGTCTATTTTAACGTTTGTTTCTTAGAGTAATCGAAAATAAAATCCCCCACCCCGCATGATATGGAAGAACATTTCATTTGCTGGCCTGACAAGGCCATTCACACACACATGGTCGTCAGTAAACGCTCCTATCTAGTTTTCGTATGTGATTCAATTGATCAAATTTCCAATAAGTGCATTTACGTGCTTCTCTTCAGAGGCTAACCAGGGTTGGCGGGTGAAAGAGACGATAGCTTAAGGCCTCGCTTCTTCTGACCCGTTATGGAGAGAGAATCAATAGACAATGTCATTTTAGATGAAGACTATTTCCAATTATTAGTATTAGTTCTGGTGGATATTTTATTAATATTATTTAAGTACAGAAATATAAATGAAGAGAGAACGCATTATGACGATAATATTAGATCTACTTTTTATCTTCAGAAATTTTATTGGGATTTAACTAAAGATTGATTCGTTTTTTTTATGGCTTATCAACCCTTTACACATATTCGATCCATGGTACTCTCGGCATCTTTCCGTAGAAACCATATTTCTGTTGCATCAAGTTTCTTCTTCATCTTTGAGGAGATTGTCCAATATTCACTACCATATAGAAGGATTGATATTACATAGCAGTTCAGTACGCTTTTCTTTGTTTCTAACAAAATATTTCTGGTTCTTAATACTTTGCTTAGCTATTGAAAGGCATATTCCGCTATCTCAATGTGGCTTTGGATTTCAGTGTCATACTTTCCGTCCTTTGTTAAAACACTTACCCAGATATTTAAATTCTGTACTTATTAGTCTTTGGTATCACCAGTTCGTAATTTGCCTGTTGGGCTATAAAACATCCGCTATTAATTAAACGTTTCTCTAATTAAAATACTCTAAGATAATTATATATACGTATATCTAGGTACCTCCAAAGAAAAGTGATACCTAAAGTTTAAAATGATTTTTTTTTAATATAAAATCTTTCTTGGAGTTTTTATTTCATTTTTAATTTCAAGCTAATAGATTAGATTTAATATTTCCCATAAGCAAAATACTCTACTGTATTTCAGATTTAATTTACATTGATTAGAATAAGGTTTTTTTATTATTATTATCATTAAAAATGCTAAAATCGTCCATATTGACAAATATGTTAACACAACGTAATTCTCTTTATTAAAGATATTTCAAAAATAAAAAATGTGCATTTTTAAAACTTTATTTGAGGAATATTAGCTGATTTAAATTTTAGTTAATCTGAGTTGAAACAAATATTACTTACTTTTAGTTTAAAATACCACAGAAAAAGCATTTTCTAACATGGTGGGTGCAAAAAAACTACCTCAATAGACTTATGTTTTGAAGATTTTTTCTACAGGGACAAAAAATACTTGACGAATATAACGTGAGCGCCTTTTTATGTATTTTTTTAGCTACCCAGTAATTTTAAAACTTTGGGAAAATATTCTAAGTAATCTAATGTTTTATTGAATTTTATGTACTTTGACTTTAAATTCACTATAGTTAGAGCTTTTACTTTCTGATAATATCTTGTATGGACGCCCGTATTTGCTAAAGCCGGCACGTATACATACACAAAAAAAATACAACATTCTTTTTAAAATACTGTGGGTTACTGCACTGTGATAATCTTTTCCGTTTATGAATAGTAAATATAGTTTTTACTTAATAATAATATAAACTATCCACTAAATATTAATACATAATTTTAAAAGATTAAATAAAGCTTCATAAATTATTCTAAATAATTTTTTTAAATATAAAAAATCCTTATTCATGGATTTTATTTTCTTAGGACATAAGGGTCCATGATATTCATAAAAGTAATTAAAAGCTTCCCTAATTAAATAATGTCTTAGTTTTAATGCATTTTTATTTTATGATTCAGAGCAAATATTCTGTAACTGGAGTTCCTGTTTTACAAAAAGAAATGATGATTTAAATTCTCCAATGACTTCTGCTTATAATTAATACAAATATTAAGCCCTACAAAAATGGATTTCTCGAATTTTCATAAAGTTAAATAAGTGGGGGTAACAGATGTAAAAAAAGTATTTTTACCAATATTTTCTAAAAAAAAAAATGGACATTTCTAAAATAATTTCTTTCATTTATGAATAAGTCCTGAAAGTTTTATTAAAATCAGACAATTATTAAATTTTTACAAAAATTTCCAAATTAATGAGTTTTTCACTGCAAAAAGACGCTAAAATTTCCTATACTAATTTATGGTCATCGTTTACACAAGAAAAAAAAATTAACCAAAATTTTAAAGATTCTAAAAAGGATTAAAAAATGTAATTTAATAATCAAAATATTCTTCGGTCTTTCCTCTTAATAATAACAATAATTTTGACAGTAAACTTTATTTTTAAGTTTGGGGTATTTTCTCATCATGTATGATCTTTTTTAGCAAATCTTTGAATATATATATATATATTTTACTCATTTCACCCCAGGAAAGGCAATAATATCTCTAAGGTGTTTATAGATGTGGCTGTCTTAGCCAAAATAAGCTATTTTAAGTCAATGACTATTTACGAAGCTTAGTTTAGAAACACAGAAAAGAGGGATGGATTGCTATGTGTTACCTGTGTTTATATGGCAGTGAATGTTGGACAGTTTTCTTAAGGTTGAGGGAAAAACGAGAAGGAATATGGTTCTACAGATGGGTACTGAGAATTCCGTTGACAGCACAAGTAAGTAACAAGAAAGTCTTAAAGAAAATGGCAGCAGGAAGAATACTTTTACTCAGAATCAGGAAAGGACTGCTGGAATTCTTTGGACACATAATGAGGAAAGAGGGCTTAGAAAACTTAATCCTCACAGGACATAGTGAGATCAAGAGAAATAGGGGGAAACAGCGAACCACTTATTTGACAAGCTTGCATGAATGGATGGCGGGAGAAGGACAGAATCCTTAGCAAAGAAAGAAAAGTTGCTAAGGACGACAAGAGATAGGAAGTTGTGGAGAGCAATGATCGCCTATGTTCTTAAGGACATTGGAAAAAAAGAAGTTTAGTCTAGCCCAAGGCCATCTCCGTGAAAAACACACGAGATTATCGAAGTCTCGTTCTGTGCGAGATAATCTTATTACGTTAGGCACCCCTTCCGGGCCGTTCTATTAATTTATGTTTGATATTTAATTATGTGCCATGTGTGATACATGTCTGACGAGGCAGATTTTTTCCCGCAGTAGGTTACCATTTCTTTCTGCGGTAGACCAGTTGCCATCAAAGGCTATAGAAACCGGTCTGTCCCGCTATTTACCCATAGCTGGGGGGAGAAGAAGAGGATTCATACCTTTCCCAAGGGTATTAGCACGTAAGTGAATGTAATGGATTCAAATGGAAAGTCAGTTAGTTATGTACCATGCGTAATACACGCTTAGCCGATCATGTATCTTTCGATACATGACGAGGTAGATTTTTTCCTGCAGTAGGTTGCTATTTCTTTCTGCGGGAGACCAGTTGCCATCCAAGGCTATAGAACCCATAGCTGAGGGGAGAAGAAGAGGATTCATACCTTTCCCAAGGGTATTAGCACGTAAGTGAATGTAATGGATTCAAATGGATAGTCAGTCAGTCCGCTACCCATTACTCCACCGTGCCTCCTGTTTGATATTGATTCACTCAAAAAATTAAGATTAGTGATTGTAGTAATTGTCAGAGGGAAGAGCGGGGGGAGAAGAGAAGTAGGAAGAGGAAGAGAAAGCGAAGGAGGAAAATCTTGAGAAATCACATGATGCAAATGTATGACTAAAACTGAAAAGACATTCAAATATTCTAATAATAAAGATAGCCATCAATCTTATTCATATCTTTAGATGGTAGTTTAATTTCAAAGGTCAATAATCGTTGTTTTTCTTAAATAAATTTGGCGAAATACAACGGGCCTTTTCAAAATATAATGATCCCGTCATCTATCTTGATTTCATTGGTTGAAATCTATTTTATTAATGTCTTGTCATTGGAAGAAATAACGCTAACAGCGCTGAGACACGGAATTATTCCTGGGATAGATAGATAGATAGATAGATAGATAGATAGATAGATAGATAGATAGATAGATAGGAGCACATGATAGATAGATAGATAGATAGATAGATAGATAGATAGATAGATAGATAGATAGATAGAAGATAGCTAATATATAGAAAGAAAGAAAGAAAGAAAAGAAAGAAAGAAAGAAAGAAAGCTAACTTTGATAGATAGATAGATAGATAGATAGATAGATAGATAGATAGATAGATACGACCAGACTGATAGATAGATAGATAGATAGATAGATAGATAGATAGATAGATAGATAGATACGATCAGACTGATAGATAGATAGATAGATAGATAGATAGATAGATAGATAGATAGATAGATTATTTCCTGGCGCTTTTATTTTTGTTTTATTGCTTAAGATCATCTATTTTGCAATGCCCTATCATTAAAACAGGCAACAGGCCCGCTTCTAAATATTTACTGCGACAACATTTCTCTTATAACCTTTTCAATAGTTTCGCCTAATGAATTATTCAATGACTGAGTAGCGCATTATAGATCTACGGGTAGCATGGTAACTTATAGCAGTGGTCTTGGTTTGTTTATGATACATGCTACAGCCAAACACTTTACCAGAGGGAAACAGTTATAATGATATATGTGTAAAAGTTATTAGCGCTCGGTTTTGTCTGAAAATCCCTACTGTTTTTTCTTTTTAATATAAAAAAAAACAAAAAAACAATGGACCATTTTGAATACATCTAATGTCCACACACACACACACACACACACACACACACACAGACACACACACACACACACACACATATATATATATATATATATATATATATATATAATCTTTTTATTCCCTTTCACTCCCAGTAGCCTCTTGCGTCTAAGTCGCATTATCGCCTTGCTTGGGTGAATTGAGTAAAAAAAAAAACGAAATATAAATAAATATCAAATATAATGAATAAAAATAAATATGCATAAATCTATCTATCTATTTATACATACACACACACACACACACATATATATATATATATATATATATATATATATATATATATATATATATATATATATATATTGATGTTTGATGTGTTCTAACCAGGAATTGTCTGATATACACACACACACACACACACACATATATATATATATATATATATATATATATACGCCTTGCTTTTTCGAATATGTGAATTATTGGTTTAATAGAAGTAGCAGCACTAACTGAAGTAATCTGTCGTTATCATCATCATCATCATTACTATACTATTTTCTTTTAATCGATGATGATGATGATGATGATGACGACGACGACTACGCCGACTCTGTTCTTATCATTATTACAATTTATGAAATATTAATATTGCTAGGGCTGTTTTTGCTAATACTGTTATAATGTGGGTGTCCATTATTATTATTATTATTATTATAGAGTATTTAATGACTTTTTGCATATTAGTCAGAATTATCATGAGAATAATACCAATATCTATCGACACATTAACGACGAAGAGGAAGAAAGAGGTGAAATGTTGGAGGGAGGGAGGGAGAGAGAAATAAGGGAACGAAAAAGTGAGAGAGAATGAGAGAAGGAAGGAAGGAAGGAAGGAAGGAAGGAAGGAAGGAAGGAAGAGTTTTAAATCTTACTTCCTTTATTCATTATCTCTCACTTTTTCGTGACTGTAAAAAGCTTATCGAAGAAGAAAGTTTTAATGAAAAGAAAGAAAATGGGGCGAGTGACTAAAGAAAGAAAGAAAGAAAGAAAGAAAGAAAGAAAGAATTGTGTCGTAGATGCAGAAAGAGAAGATGAAAATAAAAATAGTAAGAAGAAGAAAATGAGAATGAAGAAGACAAAAATGAAGATGAAGGAAGATGAAATAGAGAAGGGAAAATAAGGAAATACAAAACAAGAAAAAAATGAGCCTAACGGATTAAAAAAAAAGAAGGGTGAAGCGTGAGAAAGAGAGAGAGAGAGAGAGAGAGAGAGAGAGAGATGAATAGAGAGAAGCCAAAATAATAGAAGAATGTTGCAGGTCAGCTTGCCCACATTTACAAGGCTGGTTTGTAGTCGACTGCCCAAGGCTGGAGAACGAGATGGTCGAAAGAATGGACCGGGACTGTAAAATGGATCCTACAGCAAGGAGTGGGAAGGGACGCGAAAGAGGAGAATGGTGAAATATGAAATCGGGAAAATGGGAGGGTGAAAGTGGAGAGAAGGCCGGTAATCGATAATTGTGATCGGTTGGATGAGCTGATGATAATTAACGCCGGGCGGGAATGCCGAATCGCACAGTGACGTCACACTAATCCTCCTCCACGCACACGCATAGACACACAGCGTACACATTACAATGGACAGAAGAAAACATATATGTATAAATGCATACAATAACCCAAGCCAATCACATAGAGACGCTTAGAAAAAATGTTAAAAATTGCATACATAATAATACTGTTGCTGTCTGTCACTTACTAAACTTAGCTTAGTTTGGCGCAAGACCACGATTATGGAGCATTCAGTGAGTATTAAACTTAATACTCAGTAATAATGGTCAACGAGACTTGCCCATTAACCATTACTTCATCTTGAAGAGTATATTGTTTTTATTTACTTAGTTTGGTTTCGAACAAGGCCACGAATATGGCGCATTCAGTCAGAATTGAACTCATTACTCAGTGATAATGTTCAATAAGACTAGCTCGTTAGCCATTACTTCATCTTGAGCAGCTTACTGTCTTTATTTACTTATCTTTGTTTAGTTTCTAACAAGGCCACAAGTATGGAGAATTCAGTCAGGGTTGAACTCAATACTTAATAATAATGTTCAATAAGACTAGCTCGTTAACCATTGCCTCAGCCTATTGTACTTATTTACTAAGCTTAGCTTAGTTTGGCACAAGGCTACGACTACTATTCATAACTCATTACTCAATAATAATATTCAACAAGACAATTAATTAACCATAACCTCATCCTGATGTGCTCAATGTATTTTTTTACTAAGCTTGGTCTGGTTTGACACAACTACGGGGCTTATAAGTTTCAAATTCACTACTCAGTACTAATGATCAGCAAATATGCCTCGTTAACCATTACAACACGCCGAGTCATCCGTACTATATAATTTACAATGCCTAGTATAGTTTGGGTACAAGGCTACAAACACTTGGCACCAAATGAAAATCGAACTTACTGAGAAGTAATTCTCAACCATACTAACTCGTTAACCCTCAGGTGCCTATTGATTTTATGAGCTAAGCATAGTTTGGCTTAAGGCTATGAATATGACACATCCAAAGAGGATTGAGCCCACTTTTTCTTCTATGTGCCGTGTCTCTTCAGAACGTGGGCGATCGTGGCTCTCCACTATTTCCTACCCTTTGAAGCTCTTATTAAGGCTTGGCTTTTCGCTATCCCTCCCAAACCTTGTTGTTTTACGCAAGCCTCTTCAGCTAGTTACTCACCGCTTTCCGCAATCACCTCTCGCCTTCAATATGTCTTTTGAGTGTCAGATTCTCCAGGTCCTCTGTCCTCGTTTCGATTGTCTCTTTCTAAGTATAAACGCCCTTTTTGTTTCCATTTTCCTTAAAGCTTCCTCGTTGCTCGCATGCTCAGTCCATGACATTCTCAGCCTCATTCTGTAGAACCCCATTTCTGTTGCTTTTCTGTTCTCTTCATCTACGGGGAGATTTTCCAACATTCAAAACTGAAGAGTACTGGTATTACATAACAGTTCTACACTCTTTTCTGCTTCTAACAAAATTTTCGTGTTTCTTAATATTTTGCTTAGCTTTCAAAAATCATCTTTCATTCACTAATCGGTAGTAATGTCCAACCGAACTAGCTGGTTAACCATTACAGCGCATACTGTTAGTATTGTTGCTATGATGTGATTCCTAAAGTACTAGCGTTAGTATTGTACTCGTTAAGTTCTATGCCGGTTATATCTGGTGGATCAAGTGCCAGCAAATCTCCAATATGTTCTGCCCCCCCCTCTCTCTCTCTCTCTCTCTCTCTCCATTTAATAATGCTGTTATCGAGATGCTTTTCCTTCGGCCTCAGATTTTCTGTAACTTTTACCATTACTCTCGTCAATATTCCAACTGAGCTAAGCGGCGCTTTTTTCCTGATTATCTTGATTCTTTCATTGATGCCTTTTTTGCAGACATTCCTAGAATGTTCCCATCGCTTCGTGTGGTACGGGAGTCACCTTCACGTTCTGCCATTTCTGCAGAGTCCCGATATTTATTCAGCTTTCGATTTGCCTTTAGATTTACTGCAATCTACCGGAATAGCGAAAAGCCACCATCTGACACGTTCTTTTTTTCTTGTTTGCAAATCTTTGTCGTTGTTGCTATTATTATTATTATTATTATTATTATTATTATTATAACTATCATCATCTACCGCGCTGTTTTTCGTTTTCAACCGGAGTTCTTGCATTATGAACGATCTCCATCGTGTTAAAGCGTGTAGAGTGTGGTCGTCTCAACAGACAACAGAGATTCCATCAGTGTCAAGGGCTTGTGAAGCAGTATTTGGCCGAGTCCAACATTCCTCAGATCTCGCCTCTTGCGACTTTTACCTCTTCAAAAATCAAATCCAACTTGAAAGGAACAATATTTGAAGACATCGAGGAAGTCCGAGAGAATGCGATGAGATAGCTGCTCGCTATCCCAAAACAAAGTTCAGAAATGCTTCCACCAATGGAAACGAAACTAGATAAAGTGTGTGGCTTCAGAAAGAGACTACTTTGAAGCAAATTAAATACCGAAATGATGTGTGTTATATTTTGCTTATTATAACACCAGTCCTGATACTTTTGATCCGACATCATATATATATATATATATATATATATATATATATATATATAGAGATATAGAGAGAGAGACTGAGAGAGAGAGAGAGAGAGAGGAGAGATTTATATATATACATAGATTTTTTTCTGCAGTTCACTGCTACCAGCAAGCAAAAATATTTCTTCTGATGATGGCCATTTTGGCCGAAACTAGCCGAGAAATCTAAAGGAAATAATAATAAGAAAAAAACGAAAGAATATTAATCTACAACCCAGTGTGTCTGAAGATTTTAATTTTTTAATATTTTTTTATTGTTCAATATATATATATATATATATATATATTAGGAAATGGATTAAATCCGCCAGATTTTAATTTATTTGTTTAAAAAGTTATTTTTTAAATGGATACTCATATTTAAGTAGATGCTCAGTTCTTATTTATTTATTAAATAGTATCTATAATTATTTATTTACATCTACCGACCTGAATATTTCGATAAATCTTGTTAGAAAAATATGCGTCCTCCATCCTGTCGGGGTACGCATATTTTTCTAACATGATTAAATAAATAACAACAGACCATCTACTCAAATATGAGTATCCATTTAAAAAAATAATGTTTAAACAAATATATATATATATATATATATATATATATATATATATATATATATATATATATATTAGGTCTTACGCTTGTGTGTTCGTTTGTAAATATATATATATGTGTGTGCATGTCTGTATATATATATATATATATGTGTGTGTGTGTGAATTACAATTAATGAGATCCAAACAATTTACTGCATACACATGACCATTTCGTCTATGGAAAAGAAGTTTTGCCCTGCACTTACCAATACAAATACATTTACTAAAATGATTTTAGTAAATATATTTGCAATCATAAGTCCAGGGAAAACTTCTTTCCTATGAATGAAATGATCATCTGCATGTTGTAAATTGTTTAGATTTCATTAATTGTAATTCACTTATATGCTATATAATAAAATTATATTGATCTCTTTTTATTGTTAGATATATATATATATATATATATATATATATATATATATATATATATATATATATATATATATATTATATTACGTGTGTCAGAAGGTCCGCTTTCCTATTTTAGATATTTTAAGAGACTTTTTTTTTCGCGTTGAAATAATTAGGATATTGGAGGAGTATGAAAGTATTTTTAATGTGTTATTTCTCTTCATGCAAATACTGATGGCTAGAAATTGAATTCTCTTAAATAGAATCCGATGACTATTCCGGATTTTGTATTGTTGTTATGGGGAGAACAGAAATTTTTGAGATCATTTCTATTAGTCAATTTGTGATTGATACTTAGTTTTAGGTTATTGTTACTGCAATGTAACATGATATCAAAGATAGCTAAAGTATTGTCCGTGTCTATTTCATAAGTCAATTGTTTAGGTGAAATATTTTGAAAATGACCAGATTCAAGAAATTCTAATAAAATACATGCAAATAATCAAAATATATTGTTCAACCCACCAACTCTATCATATATATATATATATATATATATATATATATAAATAAAAGTGAACATAGAATCAACACTTAGAGGCGACAGTCTGTTTCATGCTATATGCAATCGTCAGGCCACCATATTATATATATATATATATAATTTAGCTCTTGAAAATATATTTTCAATTGAGCACTATTGAATGAGAAGCTAATTCAAAAAACCACAGCCACCTGCGTTAATGCAAAGCTCTTCAGTAAAATGAATGGAGCACTTCGGTTGTTAGGTGTTTGTTTATATTTGGAAAAATAATACGCTAGATTTGGCTGACTTAGTCTGTCGAGTTAAGATAGCTTAGTGGCAGAGACTGACACCAAATAGGTTGGGTTTCAATCCGGGCTTGAGGCATTCGTTTGTCTAGCCGCACTGTCTGCGGATGATATAATATATATGTATGATAGACAGCATGTCTTCATTCAAATATGCTTCATTGAATAATATGGGCATATTTTGTCTGCTTATTTTTATACTGATCCTTTCCAGTTCTCGTATCAGTTTCTTGATGTTAAAATGAAATTCATCAAGGAAGGTGCCATAGTTTTTTTTCCTTCTCACGTATTTTCTATTTCATCCTCATGGGTAAATTACAAAGACAAACTTATTGTAACTGTGATAAAATCTGCTTTTCTCTGTGATGGGAATTTAAAAAAAAAACACACGTGAACGCGCTCAGTTATAATTATTTAAAAAAAATTTAATTTATCCATTGTAGCTATGGAATCTTTTGTAAACGAAGCGTCTCAAGAATGAATTTCATCTTAACATCAAGAAACTGAAAAAAGAATTAGAAAGGATCAGTATAAAAACAAATAAACATAACACATCTATAATATTCAATGAAACATGTTAGAATGCAGACATATATATATATATATATATATATATATATATAATGTACCTGTGTGTTTATATGAAATGTGCATCAATGTTATTTTGAGGATTTTTTTTATCTTACTCAAATATAGAAACATTTT